TTTTCCTTTGTATTTGTCTCTGATCTTTTTGCATTGCACTTGAAATCATATATTGGAACAGGAAGAAGAAGGTTAAATAGAGCTATCTAGAGCACCTTCTTTCCACAGAAGGATTGAAATAATCCATAAATAGCCCCACTCTTGATTAGAGGAGTGAGTAGAGAATGTCAGTATACAGCAAGGAAGAAATGAGGAACTTCTGAGGTAAGGTCATCATATATTGCCTCTTTTCCTTTCCTTTTATTTTATTTTTTTTATGTGCTTCAAATATTTACCAGCTTCAGAAGTGAATTAAGTCCTCTAAAAGTGTTTTCCAAATATTTCTGGCAGTCCACCAAGGTGGTATCATATTGACCTGTGGTCACGAACCAGTCTGTTGTTTGGAGTCACAACCCGACTTCCCCTGTGTTTTCACCTCCTCTTTTACAGTTCTCTTTTGTCATGCCGATTTATGAAGCTACCTGAGGGAGACTGAGTATTTCTTCTGGGTGAGTGCCTATCAGGAGAATGTCCAAAGTGTTATCTCTAGATGCTTTCAGTTTATCCATGCTTGGGTGCCTGAGTGGTGGAATATTCCCCACCAGACTAAGGCCTATCTTTTTGCCACAGTGTTGCAACCTGAAGATCCAAAGAGTACTCTTTGCTTCCTGAAGTCTCTCAGTAATAACTCAATGGATTTATATTTTTCAGCGTTTTCTAAGAGCCTTATAACATCTGTAATGAAAATTGTCTTGGATTGAGACCTTGATGTCTCTAACTGTGGAAGGGTACAGATGCCATGCCATTCACTTTATCCTGCCAAATATTTCTAGCATCTATGCTAACCAAACTCTTTCCTTTTCATTTAGAAAACAGAAACCTCAATGCAAACAATGGAGAGGTGTCCACAAGCCACATCTGCTCCTAACTCGGTCAACCAGGCATGTACACTGCCCTTCCGATCTCTCTCTCTCCCGTCTCTGTCTCTCCCACCATTCCCCACTCCCGTGGTATGTTGTCCTAAATCCGTCTTCTATGATTTCTCCTTATCCCCACATGAAACCATCAACACAACCTACCAGCATATCTCAGATAAACTCTTCTTTCCTATTTTTACTTGTTTGTGTGATGGCGGGATGTGTAGGAAATTATTGGAAACCAGAAGATGTTTCTGAGTTTTAATCTCGGTTCTGATGTTAATCACATTTGACTTCTGAATAATATAGAATCTCAAGGTTGGAAGGGAGCCTGAAAGTTCATCAAACTCTAGACTGCCCAGCATGAGACCATAAAGTCTAGAAATTTAATATCTAGTCAAGAATGAATGAATTTCTGAGATTGCCTCTTTCCTGAGTCTTGCAACTGGTTTTTCTCTTACCAAGGTTAAAATTCTGTTTGTTATAGCTTTCTCTCAACACTTCTAAATTTACCATCTTGAGCCAGACAATAAAGTCTGTTCCTTCTAATTTACTACATCTCTTTAGTTACTTGGGAATAGTTATCATGTCACTTTGTATCATCTCAGTCCTACATTAAATGTCCTCATTTTCTTCCATTATTCCTTATGACACAGTGTGGAGCTACTTTAAGATCTGATGCTTTCACCTGAATATCTTCCAATTTGTCTCTTAACATACATCTCTAATTCTCTTAGCAAATGATAATCAGTATTATTCAGCAATAAAAAGTAATGAAGTACTGATACATGCTACAGCATAGATGAATCATGCTTTCACATTACGCTAAGTGAAAAAAAGCTAGTCACAAGGACTACACAATATATGGTTCATTTTATATAAAATTTTCATATTAGGCAAATTCAAAAAGGCAACACATTCAATTAGCAATTATTCAGGACTGCGGGGAAGATGGCTAAGGGATGCAGGGTTTCTATTGGGGATGATGCGAATATTCTACAATCAATTGCAGTCATGGTCACTCAACTCTATGAAATCTGCTAAAAACCACTGAATTGTACAATTTACATGGGAAAATTCTATGGTATGTGATCTATATCTCAATAAAGCTATTAAAACAAATGAAACATTATGTTCTGCAGGAAAAATAGTAGTCTGAAGTAGAGTGCTTTAACCTCCGTAATTTCAATTCCACTTTACCAAACAGATGCATTAATAATATCTGCTCCACCTCCTTGACAAGGTTGTTGAATCATATTTTGCAACACCATAATTATGTAAGCTATTAGTTTAAGTGACTTTCACCACGTCCTATCTGGATTAGTAATATCATCCACTTGCTGGTAACCCATTTATTTCACATATGGTGGTAAGAGATTTTTTTTTTCTAAACATCAATCATTCAACTAAGGAGAATGTAAGGGATACTTAGTACTCATTGTACTCATCCAACCCTTCATCATAACATTTAAAGCTCTCTTCCAACTCTGTCTTACACATGCTATCCTTCTTCACAAATTACATTTTGACTATAAAATAATTGCTTTCTCCTATGTGTGCTTTGCATATTAACCCTTTAGCTAGATATTTTTCTCTAGCAGAATTTAATGTACTGAATGTTTACATCTCCCCCAAATTCCTATGCTGAAAGCCCTAATCTCCAATGCAATGGTATTTGGAGTTGGAGCATTTGGGAAGTAATTAGGGTTAGTAGAGGTCATGAGAGTGGGTCACTTCTGATGAATTAGTGACCTTATGAAAAAAGACATATGAGAATGTGCTTCCTCTCTCTCTCTCTCTGTCTCCACCTTATGAGGACACAGCAAAAAGGTGGGCATCCATGTGCCAGCAAGAGAGTACTCACTGGGGAACTGAATCATCTTGTGCTCCAACCTTAGACTTACCAGACTTGAAATTTTGAAAACTATGTTTCTGTTGCTTAAGCCTCTCGGTCTATGGCATTTTGTTATGACAGTCTAAACTGACTAACAGATACTCCTTGGAATCTCCCAACAATACCCTGCCATCACTTCCTGTAAAAGGTTTCTCAAAACTGTCTCATCTTGGAATTTTCCCCCATACTGATCACTCCATTACTCTGCAATCTCTTAGAAGTTTTGCTTCATCTCGTAATAGTTACATCACTGGACTCCCACATAGTTGACCACAGCTTGAGTCCTGGGTCTGAAGGCTTAAAAAAACTCATACATGGTGTGTGTGCATGCGTGCCCAAAATACTGAGAGGAGAATGGAGGAAAAGGGACTGCATTGTGATCCTCCTCCCTAGGGTGGTGATTTCTTGCTTTCTGTCTGTCTGTGTCTCTGTCTTTCTGGTGAGCACACATGCCCTATAGCAAAATATCTCTCCAAACAAAAAACTTTAAAAAATAAAAAATAATAAAGCTAATTTGCAGTTCTTCTATGTACTACATTTTTAACTCCTCACTTGCTGACAAGCTTTTCAAATGAGAGGGCCAATATGTATAATTCTGTCACACCTTTAATTTCTTCAAGACACTAGTTTTGAAGTCATCTTCACTAGTACTCAGCGATGATTGCTACCTTTTGTTGAAACTGTTGGTCTCACACTATCTGGTCCAAAGCTTACAGGAAAGACTCACAGTAACCGATCACCCAAATGGCTAATAACATCAACACTGTGTTGAAAGCTGAGGTTTTTTAAAAACTTAATTTCAGAATTCCTGATAAACCTTGATATTTAGAGTGCCAAGAATTTCAAAGAGAGTAGAAGGCATTAAGTACTATTAAAGAGTACTCCTTTTTGTTGGTACATTACAAAAGGTTACAGGAAAAGTTGAGGCAGTTTTTGAAATTGTATCTTTTGAGCCCAAGGGCATTGAGTCTGTATGAAAACATGTAAGGGCATATCCCATGAAAAGGAAACTGACAATCTCTGGCAGCTCACCAGCCTGGTTTAAGAGATCCACTCTTAAGTCTTCCTTCTTGTACCATCAGCTCAGCCTCACTTGGAAAACTCAAGCCCAGTTTTTTCCAAATGATTTCTAGAAAATAAGACTTCCAGAATGAAATTAAAGTGCAATTTCCTGATTTTTAGTACATCAAAGATGTTTTTCTTTGCTACAAGCCCCATCTTTTCATCTTAGTATTTCCTGCTGTGTCTATAAGGTGTAGGGCAACTGACAGGACCCCAGACCTTAAACTTTCTGCGTATTGCTTCCGTGCAGTGTGGAATGCCTGGTCAGAAGCTGATCTCCCCCAGACCAGATGGAGCTAGAAAGACAAAGAACGAAGATCAGCTCATTTTATGGGCAAAGAAGTCGCCTCACCGCCTGCAGAAAGGAATGACTAAAAAGTCAAGAATACTGGTTCAAAGCTGGCATGGAAGCTTAAGTACTGCCCTAGAGAAGTCCTACTGTGGTATGGAGATTTGTTTGTGTGGGTGTGTTTTATTGCACTTGCCATTTCAAAATTTATGCTTTGATTCCTTGTCTCATATTTTCTCAGGCTATGAGGAAATCCTTTAAAATGTTCTTCTTGTGAAAAGAAACGTCAGAGTGCATGGAAGAGGGAAGGATAGAAGAAAGGGAAGAGAAACAGGAGAAAGGAAGGAAGACAGTTGACCTTGGTGCCCCCTCCTATTCCCCTGCCCTGACTTTTGTGCACTCAGTCGCCCGGTCTCTGGTTTCACCACGGCTCCATTCCCTTCCCAGCTCCGTTTCCCATGGCCCTGAAAGTCAGCCGACAAGGGTTTACATTTTGAAAAGCCTTGCGTGGCTGCGGGTGCTGGGCATGCTCAAACGCCCAGGACTGGCTTTTTTCGGCTTCCAACTTTGGCAGCTCTCCCACCCCCACCCGAAGGGGCAGGTACGCACAGCTCCCTGGGTGTGAGTAAACGGGAAGAAATCGCCCCACTCCCACGGACCGAGCGGGGTAGGGGAAAGAAAGGGACCAAAGCCGCAGCTCGGCTGGGCAGTTCCGCTCTCCGGGGGCGTTTTCAGGGGGCGCGCGCGGCGCCGGGGTTGGCGGCAGCGCGGGCGCGCGCGCTCCGAGGGGGCGCTGTCCGAGGGCACGTGCGCGGGCGC